AGATGGTTGTGGTGCTACTCAGGATGGTCGTGGTGGTCCCAGATGTGGTTGTGGAGGTCCCTGAGATTATTGTAGAGGTCCCTGGGGTGGAGGACGTGGTCCCTGGAGTGGTCGTGGTGGTACCTGGGACTGTGGTGGTGGTCCCAGAGTTGGTCGTGGTGGTCCCTGGAGTGGTCGTGGTGGTCCCTGAGGTGACTGTGGAGGTCACTGGGGGGGTCATGGTGGTACCCGGGAGGGCTGTGGTGGTACCTAAGTTTGTTGTGGCGGTCCCAGAGGTGGAGGACGTGGTCCTTGGGGTGGTCGTGGTGGCACCCAGGGTGGTCGTAGTGGTCCCTGAGATGATTGTGGTGGTCCATGGGGTGGTCGTGGTGGTCTCTGTAAGGGTCGTGATGATCCCTGGGATAGTCGTGGTGGTCCCTGGGATGGTTGTGGTGGTCCATGGGGTGGAGGAGGTGGTCCCTGATGAGGTCGTGGAGGTCCCTGTAATGGTTGTGGTGGTACCTGCAGTGGACGTGGTTGTCCCAGAGTTGGTTGTGGTGGTCCCTGAGGAGGTCATGGAGGTCCCTGGGATGGTCGTGGTGGTCCCTGGGGTGGTTGCGGTGGTCCAGGGGCTGGAAGAGGTGGTTGCTGCGGTGGTTTTGGTGGTCACTGGGGTGGTCGTGGTGATACCAGGGACGGTCGTGGTGGTCACAGAGTTGGTTGTGCTGGACCCTGAGGTGGTTGTGGTGGTACTTGGGATGGTTGTAGATGTTCCTGGGGTGCTTGTGGTGGACCCTGAGGTTGTTTGGATGGTCTCAGAGGTGGCTGGGGTGGTCGCAGAGGTGGAGGTGGTCCCCGAGGAGGTTGTGATGGTCCCTGGTGTGGTCGTGGTGGTCCCTGATGTGGAGGTGGTGGTCCCAGGGCTGGTTGTGGTGGACCCTGAGGTGGTCGTGGTGGACCCTGAGGTTGTTAGGGTGGTCGCAGAGGTGGTTGGGATGGTCCCTGAGGTGGAGGAGGTGGTCCATGGGGTGGCTGTGGTGGTCGCTGAGATGACCGTGGTGGTCCCAGAGGTGGACGTGGTGGTCCCTGAAGTGGTAGGGGTGGTCCCCGAGTTGGTCATGGTGGTTCCTGGAGTGGTCGTGGTGGTCTCTGGAGTGGTCGTGGTGGTACCCGGGATTGTTGTGGTGGTCTCAGAGTTGGTTGTGGTGGTCCCTGAGGACATTGGGGTGGTCCCGGAGGTGGTCGTGGAGGTCCATGTAATGGTTGTGGTGATCCCTGGGTTGGTTGTGGTGGTCCCAGAAGTGAAGGAGGTGGTCCCTGGGTTGCTTGTGGTGGTCAATGGAGTGGTTGGAGTGGTCCCGGAGCTGGTGGAGGTGGTCCCTGGGATGGCTGTGGTGGCTCCTGAGGAGATTGTGGTGACACCTGAGGTGGTTGTGGAGGTCTTTGAGGTGGTCTTGGTGGTCTCCGAGGTGGTTGGGATGGTCCCAGAGGTGGTTGTGGAGGTCCCTGAGGTGGAGGAGGTGGTCACTGGCATGGTCGTGGTGGTCACTGGGGTGATTGTGGTGGTCCCCGAGATGGTTGTTTGGGTCCCTGGGGTGCTGGTGGTGGTCCCTGAGGAGCTCATGGTGGTCTCTGAGGTGGAAGAGGTGGTACTTGAGGTGGTTGGGTTGGTCCCAGAGGTGCTCATGGTGGACCCTGGGGTGGTTGTGGAGGTTCCTGAGGTGGAGGAGG